GGGGGGTAGAGACTTGAAAAATGAAAGGAAAGCCCACACAGTATGGTAAAACCAACAATCAACATTTAATTTGTATGACTTTTTCATATTAATAAATAATAATATGTATATATTTGTCGCTACAAGAAATAAAACAAACATTTATATGATGGTATTTAGCTTTTAGTCTATTTCACGCAGGCTTCTATCTTCGTGAAATAATTCACCCCCTCCTGTCACGTCCCTGTTACTTTGTCACGCGATATTTGTACGGAATGTTTTGAAAGACTCGTGAGCAAGATCTTACATGGTGATAAAATGGCGTATTTCTTATATTTTGTTTAGATTTTTTAGTTTCCTCCTGTTATAAAGGATTAAATTTATTATTAGTGGAATGGAAATGGCTTCGATGGAAGAGTAACAAGACTGAATTGTTAACAAGCGACATGGGATGACAAAATGGCGCCGAATTTGGACAACGTTGTGGATTTACCTTGTCGATGGTTAAACAGGTATGATCTACTTGAAACCAAGTTGAAACTTGTTTAAAATGTTCTTGATACCATTATGTCTGAGATGATTTACATTTTTTGTAGGATGTCGACGAGATCGCCGATAAACAACGGAGTAAAGTGGAGAACTTGGCCAAATACGTCTATTTGCAGGAGGTAGGCACATTTCAAATTATTATTTCGGTCAGAAAATATTAACTATTTTACACCAAACCGGTGATAATATATTTAAATATGTACCAATTATGTTTCTATCAAGAAGATGTAGGGAAAAAGGTAATGTAAGTCCACTGCTGTTTATCTGAAGTTGCAAGCCACAAATTGACGTTTAACTATGATTATTGCATGGTCATTTTCTTGTGAAGTACTAGTGCTAGGCATTTCACACTTACCAATGACCATCCCCAAAAGTACCATCTCTGAACCATATAAGCACCTCAGAATAGCCAAAGCTTTTATGGTTTGGTAGATAGCAGTCTGGCGAAAGCGTCGTTTTTGGGTGTGGTCAGTTTGGGACGTTTCGCCCCGGATTGGGGTTCGGGCAGCGTTACCATGTTGACCGTCATGGTCAACTTACCCTAAAACAGTTGAGATTATCTGTCCCAAATTAAATGCATACAAACTCATATACAGGTCCTAGACTACAGGGTATATCAGGAAAAAATGGAACCTTATAAAGAACTTAGTGATTGAGCACCGGTATCAGGAATGTCTGGTTCAGATTTATTAGTAACACACTCTGCTTAATAAACAATTTGTTTAAATCCTTTTTGTGTGTGTTTTGATGTTATGTGCTCAGGTGAATATAATGTTTTTGGTGTTACTCTGAGTGTATATCCTGGTCAGGCTAACTTTTCAGCCTGCTCGGTGTGGATATACATTCAGATTAATATCAAAAACACAATAGTTTATTTAAATGTAAAAAAGGCTTTGAAAACAATTATTTATCTTATTGATTTTGATTAGAAAAGAAGAATACAACTTTAATCGAAAAACTTAATCTTTCCCTTTTAAGCTGTCGGAGGAAAATAGTATTTGATTAGAATACAGAAGCATAAAAAAGCATCAAGAATGAGCAAAAAAGAGGAAAACGTAGAAACTTACCTTTACAACTATCAGATTCATCACGAGACTGAACAATACGAGAAAACATTGGAAAATGCAAAAGCTCAGGAGACATTGGCATGCATTCGTTTAGGAGATGCTTATGTATCGAAGAATGACTTTCAAAAGGCAACTAAATATTACGAGCAAGCATTAGAAATTGCAAAAGAACGAAAAGATCAAGATCAGGAGACAACGGCATACCTTGGATTAGGACAAGCTTACATACGGATGCACCAGTGTCAAACTGCAATTAAATACTATGAGCAGGCCTTCGAAATTGCAAGAAATCGTAAAGATCAAGATCAGAAGACAACGGCATACCTTGGATTAGGACATGCCTGCGTACGGATCCAACAGTTTCAAACGGCAATTAAATACTATGAGCAAGCCTTACAAATTGCAAAAGAGCGTAATGATTAAGATCAGAAGGCAACGGCATACCTTGGGTTAGGACATGCTTACATACGGATCCACCAGTTCGAAACGGCGATTAAGTACCATGACCAAGCCTTGGAAATTGCAAAAGAGCGTGAAGATCAAGATCAGAAGACGACGGCCTACCTTGGGTTAGGACATGCTTACATACGGATCCACCAGTTTCAAACTGCAATTAAATACTATGAGCAATCCTTGGAAATTGCAAAAAATCGTAAAGATCAAGATCAAAAGGCAACGGCGTACCTTGCATTAGGACATGCTTGCACACGGATCCACCAGTTCCAAACCGCAATTAAATACTATGATCAAGCGTTGGAAATTGCGAAAGAGCGTAAAGATCAAGATCAAGAAACAGCGGCATATCTTGGGTTAGGAAATGTTTATAGATTGAACCATCAGCTTAAATCGGCAATTAAATATAATGAGCAAGCATTGGAAATTGCGGAAGAGCTTAAAGATCAAGATCTGAAGGCAACGGCATACCTTGGGTTAGGACATGCTTATAGATGGAACAATCAGTTTCAAATGGCGATTAAATATTATGAGCAAGCCTTGGATATTGCAAAAGGAAGAAAGGATCAGTGTCAGGAGACAACGGCATACCTTGGGTTAGGACATGCGTACATACGGATCCATCAGTTTCAAACGGCAATTAAATACTATGAGCAAGCCTTGGAAATTGAAGAGCGCAAAGATCAACAGACGTCGGCATACCTTGGGTTAGGACGTGCTCATAGATTGAACCTTCAACTTAAATCGGCAATTAAATATGATGAGCAAGCCTTGGAAATTGCGAAAGAGCGTAAAGATCAAGATCAAGAAACAACGGCGTGCCTTGGGTTAGGGCAAGCTTATAGATTGAACAATCAGCTTCAAGCGGCAATTAAATACTATGAGCAAGCCTTGGAAATTGCAAAAGAGCGTAAAGATCAAGGTCGGGAGACAACGGCATACCTCAGGCTAGGACATGCTTATGAATTAAACAATCAGTTTAAAACAGCAATTAAATACTATGAGCAAGCCCTGGAAATTGCAAAACAACGTAAAGATCAAGATCAGGAGACAACGGCATACCTTTGGTTAGGACATGCTAATGAATTGAACAATAAGCTTCAAACAGCAATTAAGTACTATAAGCAAGCCTTGGAAATTGCAAAAGAGCGTAAAGATCAAGGTCGGGAGACAACGGCATACCTTAGATTAGGACATGCTAGTGAATTAAATAATCAGCTTCAAACAGCACTCAAATATTATGAACAAGCATTGGAAATTACAAAAGAACGAAATGATAAATATCGGGAGGCATTGGCATACCTTTGGTTAGGACGTGCTAATGAATTAAACAATCAGTCTCAAATGGCAATTAAATATTATGAGCAAGCATTGGAAATTGCAAAACAACGAAAAGATCAATATCAACAGACATCAGCATACCTTGGTTTAGGAGATGCATATATACAGATCCATCAGATCAAAACAGCAATTAAATACTATGAGCAAGCCATGGAAATTGCAAAAGAGCGTAAAGATAAAAATGTGGAAACAACGACATACCTTGCATTAGGACAAGCTTATATATGGAACAAGCAGTTTAAAACGGCAATTAAATATTATGATCAAGCCTTCGAAATTGCTATGGAACAGAACGACGAAGATCTGAAGACAAAGGCATACCTTGGGTTAGGTAAAGCTTACAGATTGTCTGCAGGAATTACAGGTATGTAAAGGCATTTGAGTTTCCAAGTTAGTAAGCCTATAGAATATAAAATGTATTAACTTACAGTAAATGTTACAGTTTTCAAATCTTTTTGCGATCGGTCCAAGAGAAAATATGAGATTGTTTTAAAATTAGTAAGAAATTGTTCGGGAAGAGCGGTAACTTTTAACCCCAAACTAAAGTTAACCTGGAATTCAGCAAACCCTTTGAGTGCAGCTACAGTACGTCACACTGAGTAACAAAGTAAGTTTCATCTTTTTAAGGTTACAGAACACCTTTGAGTGTTAATATTGCCTAAAATCATTATTAGTAAGAATAAAAAGAAACAAGGAAGCATTACTCTACTACGTTCTGCTATCTGACCAAGTTTGAAAAAAAAATGTTGAAAGTGAGTTATTTAATAAAATACATTTCGCTGCAATAAGAAAAACACTGGAAATGTAATATTCAAATTCAATTTTATCCCGGACGAATTTTACGGCAATTACTGATTTTCAAACGAGTTGTTCTCCTGCGGGTTTTAATGATCTTTTTATAAATATTCAGAAGACATAGCTATAAAGACGTCAGTTTCAAAAATTTGTTCGGCTTTTTCTAATTTTGGATATGTTAATTGGACGAAATAAGCAAAAAATGTGACATCATAGTTTTTTAGAACAACTATTTTACTGTATAAAAATGGATTTTTCATAAGTATTTCTTAAAACCAGAAGGAAAACAACTCAAAAGCGTAAAGGTAGCTACTGCGATTTAAGATTTTCCTGAATAATACATTATTTTATTCGTTAAACGGTTTGAATCCATGTTCATTCATTTTTTGTTTGTTTTATTGTTCTTCTAGATTATTACAAAATTAAATAAGCTTTGTCTGACGTTTCGGTTTCCTACACGAAAACCATTTTCGAAGATTTGAACGTTTGTCCATTTTATCCGTTGATGTTTATCTTGCGTCAGCTGCACGACTGCGTGATTGTCTTCGCCTGCGTTCACATTCTGCGCGCGCTCGTTCATTTGCAATTAAACTATAATACGCGCCTGGCATTTCGCGGCATTTCCTGGCATTTCGAAAATGGTTTTCGTATAGAAAACCGAAACGTCAGACAAAGCTTATTTAATTTTGTAATAATCTAGAAGAACAATAAAACAAACAAAAAAAAATTATTTTATTGTTTGTCAATTTTACAACTTCATCATATTTTGTATGCTCTATACTTGCGAACATTCGGTGAAAGTTTGATGAAAAATCGGATTGATATTGAGCGCCATTCCTCCATCAGATAAACTAAGAATCGTCCCAATTGGATAAAAGGCCACAAAGTGATCGCAAATTTCCCAAAGTTGTTGGGAAAACAACGTCATAACTGCGCCCCCTTTCACTCAATTTCGATCAACCAAAGTTTGGAAGATGCCCAGCCATTCCTCTATCAGATAAACTAAGAATCGTCCAATTGGATAGCCTTAAATGTTTGGTTGGTCAGACTTATCAATTTTCATACACGTTAATACATGCAATGTATTTATGCATGACAAGAAAAACATATACGAGCAAAGAGGTTGACAGCAAACCACCTAAAATCCAATTACAGTGAGTTCTTTCTGCGTTGTTCTCCCGCAGAGTAAAGTTCTATGGGGGAGCGAATTTTTGGTTAAGCAGTCTAGCTAATCAAACAATATAAAATACAAATGCTCATTAATTATTTATCAGGCAGTTATCCAATCTGGTGTAGCAAATTATTTACCTGCATATATATTTATACCAGCTAGATAGGTATAAAGAGATTTATACCTATTGTATCGAATATTTTGGAGGCATTAGTTTCTTTAAGTTGTGATCATTATTTGCTTCGATTAATGAAAATAGTTTTATACACAGCTTTTCTCTTCTTTCGTATAATGTCTCCAACATTGTATATAATGTCTCCAACGTACAATGTCTCCAACGTACAATGTCTCCAACATGCCTGATATATTGCTTCGATATACCAAATCTGGTTGAATAATTCTAATGCTTATATCTGACAGGAAGTTATAGGAAGATTTGAATGAAAAAATTGAAAAGAATACCCAATAATTGAACTAATACACGCAGTATAGAATTGAACTTATATAAGGAGCTAGTTTCCACTTCAGCGCGTTTTAATTGCTTAATAAATAAAGTCGTTTGAAAGCCTTTTCCACGATATTGCTTATACCGTGCTTGTTTCTTTTCAAGTCACTGGTAAGTGTCATACCAAGAAATTTTGCGGATTTTACAATTTGGAATGACTCCACGAAGGGGCGGATTAGCCCAGCGGGCTACCGGGCGATCGCCCGGTTGGCCCCCAGTTTTGTACAAAAATGATCCCTAGTTTTGTACTAAAATAGATTTTAGTTCAATGGGGAAGAAGCTTATCCTTGGCCTTGAATTTTTATCAAGGGCCTGGAAATAGCTTGAACACTCGCAGGCAGCAGGCAAGAAACCATGACAATAACGATTACATAATTATATGAATAACGCCAGTCGATCGTATTAAATTTGAGAGCCCAACATATAACTTTTAACAAAGCCATTAAAACAGTTTTAAAAGATTGTAAAGAATTTTAATTGTAATTCTACTTTACAGAATTTTCAACCTCTGTTCTAGCTATGAAAACTTTCATACTCAGCTTGAAGTTATTAGGAAACTGTTTAACTTGAATGGTTTCCCCTCCCACATGTTTGACCGTCTTGTTCATCGTTTCTTAACAAGATCTTCGAACCCAAACCTCCTATTCACACGGTTCCTAAAAAGGTTATCTATTTTTGCCATCCCTTCACAGGTTCACACTCTCTTCAAATTCGCACTCAAATCAACCGACTTTGCAATGCTGCTTATCCTCATCTCAACATTCAATTTATCTTTCGCTCTTCTAAACGCATCTCTTCTTTCTTTCCTTTTAAGGATAAAGTTCCTACGTTCCTGAGATCTGGTGTTCTATACTTATTTAAGTGTCGATGCTGTTCCGCGTCGTATGTGGGTCAAACCATGCGCCATTTACACACCAGAGTATCGGAACACCTGGGACTCACTCCTATAACAGGCCAGCCGTCATCCAGACCAGTCATGTCTAGTATTTTCTCTCACTTAAATACTACAGGGCACTCTGCCAACTTTGACGACTTCAAAATTCTTTCCTCTTGCTCAGACACTTGTGAATTATTGATTCACGAAAGTCTTTTTATATCTAAACTCAAACCTACTCTTAACGTCC